CTCACCACATTCGATAGTCATATGTCTTTTAATATGTAAACAATTAGCCTGTGAACCTTTTCAACACTTAATAATAGTTGTCTTATGTGCGCCGCGGATCGGAAGGTCGTGGGTTCGCTCCCCTGGCGGAGCCGGACTTTTCTTCAAAAATGACCTTGGCTCCCAGGTCGACCCAGCCTTGAGTGGGTACCGGGTGCGGTCCCGGAAGGTAGAGGCAGCCAGCGTGATGCCGATCACATCATCCATCTTGTGCCGTTAGTCTATAAAATATAGGTGTGGAAAAGGGTCCTTTACTTTTTTACTTACTAAACAGTTGTCTTGCACTAACCGTTGCTTTACACCGAAGTCATCCAAGAGTTCAGCAAATGTAACATAGGAGATGGTGTATGATTTGAGAAGACATTACAACAGACTTTAGAAAACAGTCAGCAGGCACTGCATATTATTTTATTCTGCAATGTTCATAATATGGTTAGATTAACATTATTGTGAAACTGATACAATAGTTCTCAAGTACACAGGTGGCACAGGACTGGTGTTTCATGAAGATTACAATTACATGTTGCATCTAGCTGGGTGTTTTTCTTCTTTAAATCAAGACATCACGACATGACACATATCAATACATACATTGCTGAAGCCACAAACAAAAACAAAGCATTAAAAATTAAAAGGGAAGCTGCCCTGGTGTAGCAGCTAGACTCTCATCTACGGATCCAAAGGTTGTGGGTTCAAGTCCTGAGAGTCGGACTGTTTTCAAAATGACCTTGGCACCCAGGTGACCGTCTTAAATGGATGCCAGGTAAAAATCCAGGGAAGCAAAGGCAGCCGACATGATGCTGACCACATCACCCATCGAGTGCCGATTGCTCTATAAAATATAGGTCTAGCCCTATATGCCTGAAGGCACATACAAGTTTCCTTTACTAAAAGGAAAAAGGAACAGATACCACATGACACCAACAGATATCACATGACACCGAACAGATATCACATGACACCAACAGATATCACATGACACCAACAGATATCACATGACACCAACAGATATCACATGACACCAACAGATATCACATGACACCAACAGATATCACATGACACCAACAGATATCACATGACACCAACAGATATCACATGACACCAACAGATATCACATGACACCAACAGATATCACATGACACCAACAGATATCACATGACACCAACAGATATCACATGACACCAACAGATATCACATGACACCAACAGATATCACATGGCACCAACAGATATCACATGACACCAACAGATATCACATGACACCAACAGACATCACATGACACCAACAGACATCACATGACACCAACAGATATCACATGACACCAACAGATATCACATGACACCAACAGACATCACATGACACCAACAGACATCACATGACACCAACAGATATCACATGACACCAACAGATATCACATGACACCAACAGATATCACATGACACCAACAGACATCACATGACACCAACAGACATCACATGACACCAACAGACATCACATGACACCAACAGACATCACATGACACCAACAGACATCATATGACACCAACAGATATCACATGACACCAACAGACATCACATGACACCAACAGATATCACATGACACCAACAGATATCACATGACACCAACAGATATCACATGACACCAACAGATATCACATGACACCAACAGATACCACATGACACCAACAGATATCACATGACACCAACAGATATCACATGACACCAACAGATATCACATGACACCAACAGATATCACATGACACCAACAGATATCACATGACACCAACAGGTATCACATGACACCAACAGATATCACATGACACCAACAGATATCACATGACACCAACAGATACCACATGACACCAACAGATACCACATGACACCAACAGATATCACATGACACCAACAGATACCACATGACACCAACAGATACCACATGACACCAACAGATATCACATGACACCAACAGATATCACATGACACCAACAGATTTCAAAACCAGTCTCTGTTATTCTCTTCATCCAACGTAAGGGAAAGAAAACATTGTAACAAAATATGCAACAGTATATACTGAGCGAAAACAACTTTGCAACCACAAATCCACTTTTATTAAATGGGCTTCAAAACCTTATTTAGCGAACATGACTTGTGCAGCTGGGTAACTGATTTATAAGCAGCAAACGTGAGCATCAAATTTCATAACCATTAACATGCCCACAAGCCTAGGCTGTCATGTTTCATGATCATCATCACATGCCATGCCCACAAGCCTAGGCTGTCATGTTTCATGATCATCATCACATGCCATGCCCACAAGCCTAGGCTGTCATGTTTCATGATCATCATCACATGCCATGCCCACAAGCCTAGGCTGTCATGTTTCATGATCATCATCACATGCCATGCCCACAAGCCTAGGCTGTCATGTTTCATGATCATCATCACATGCCATGCCCACAAGCCTAGGCTGTCATGTTTCATGATCATCATCACATGCCATGCCCACAAGCCTAGGCTGTCATGTTTCATGATCATCATCACATGCCATGCCCACACAGCCTAGGCTGTCATGTTTCATGATCATCATCACATGCCATGCCCACAAGCCTAGGCTGTCATGTTTCATGATCATCATCACATGCCATGCCCACAAGCCTAGGCTGTCATGTTTCATGATCATCATCACATGCCATGCCCACAAGCCTAGGCTGTCATGTTTCATGATCATCATCACATGCATGCCACAAAGCCTAGGCTGTCATGTTTCATGATCATCATCACATGCCATGCCCACAAGCCTAGGCTGTCATGTTTCATGATCATCATCACATGCCATGCCCACAAGCCTAGGCTGTCATGTTTCATGATCATCATCACATGCCATGCCCACAAGCCTAGGCTGTCATGTTTCATGATCATCATCACATGCCATGCCCACAAGCCTAGGCTGTCATGTTTCATGATCATCATCACATGCCATGCCCACAAGCCTAGGCTGTCATGTTTCATGATCATCATCACATGCCATGCCCACAAGCCTAGGCTGTCATGTTTCATGATCATCATCACATGCCATGCCCACAAGCCTAGGCTGTCATGTTTCATGATCATCATCACATGCCATGCCCACAAGCCTAGGCTGTCATGTTTCATGATCATCATCACATGCCATGCCCACAAGCCTAGGCTGTCATGTTTCATGATCATCATCACATGCCATGCCCACAAGCCTAGGCTGTCATGTTTCATGATCATCATCACATGCCATGCCCACAAGCCTAGGCTGTCATGTTTCATGATCATCATCACATGCCATGCCCACAAGCCTAGGCTGTCATGTTTCATGATCATCATCACATGCCATGCCCACAAGCCTAGGCTGTCATGTTTCATGATCATCATCACATGCCATGCCCACAAGCCTAGGCTGTCATGTTCATGATCATCATCACATGCCATGCCCACAAGCCTAGGCTGTCATGTTTCATGATCATCATCACATGCCATGCCCACAAGCCTAGGCTGTCATGTTTCATGATCATCATCACATGCCATGCCCACAAGCCTAGGCTGTCATGTTTCATGATCATCATCACATGCCATGCCCACAAGCCTAGGCTGTCATGTTTCATGATCACCAGAATCATGGAGATCAGAACACTGTTCTTGTCTTGTCCCTTCCATATGGCCAAGCCATCTGGGAATTTATCTCTCTGCCTTCCCCTTGCCCCCTTTCCTTAGCAACCAGGCATAATGAGAGAGTATACTATCAGAGCAAAGATCTAGTCAGAGACAGATAGATGGACATTTAGAAATTCATTTTCTTTGACCAGACCCACTGCCCCCCCCCCCCCCCCCCTAAAAAAAAAACCAGCAGGCTGTAAACGTTGACTAATCAGGGGTGCATCAAGTGAAGTCAGAGTACATCTGCCTGTAAGGCCAGGATCGAATAGTCTGCGTAAAAAAAAAAGTCAGACTTGTAAAAACGGATGCGTACGCAAAACTCAGGTTCTGAATCAAGACCAAAGACTAGAGTCGGACGATAACCAGAACGTTTCCGCCAGAGTTTACAACTGGTGAACAACAATATAATGAAGAAGAGAAGATAGGTTTTTTTTTAGCTGACAAACTACTTAGTACTTACTTCATTTGGTTACATCTAGCATTTTTAAGAAACCAAATATGGTGATAAAATTTTAAAAAGCAACAAACAGCATTGCTGACAACAACAGAAAGGACAAAACATGAATGTCAGGCATCACAACATGAGATGCACATGTGGCAGTTACTCAGCCAGAACCAGGTATGTCTCTACACCTCTCCAACAACAAGCAGCTATGTTCACTAGCCTCAGTCTGTCGCAGAGAAATGTGCGGCTTTAATGTAGAAATTTATCTCGGATGAAAAATGGATTTAAGACACACAGCATGACAGCAGTATCTATACAAGTGAGCAATGAAGACTGCGAAGAAGATTGTGTGTATTTCCACTAGTTACATAATTAAAACTCTTACAGAAGTAAACAAAACCCGCGAAGGAAAGTATTTTATGGTTGTCTGATTCAAACACGTCTGCCACTGTTTCCTTTCTTAACTCTATCGGGCATTTTCAGAAAAATAAAGCTGGGGGAGGGGGGAATTGGGAGCAAACATGAACATGTGATAATCTGAGTGCTGCTAAACAAATCAACAAACTGATGGAAAGCATGCAAGGCTGTTTTCACATTTCTCTTTATCTCACAACAGAAACATTACCAACTACTGGTTCCTCATACACTTCTATTCACATTAGTGTGTTTACATCAAATCTTATGCAATCTTTCCTCATTATGTAAAATAAAGAGCACAGGAAAAGCATTTTTAACTTGAAAGAATAATCACAAGTATGGAAACATTTCTGACCGGCTAAACATGAATGTGTACAGATGATGACAAGGGCTGGACAACGACATGTGAGGGTGGACTATTTTTTCTGTTGCACAGGAAGATAAAGCTTAAACTCTGCTGGTAATTAGTGCTGCTGTTATTTTTGAAGCCCCACTCCTCTGGCCAGAGCCACTATTTCATCTGTATGTCTTTGACCAGTCTCCAACAAGCACAGTTAACGACACTGATTCTGTATGTGCCTTCGCAGTGTTTAAGAGGACTGTGTTTTACGGTGACAAAATTAACTTTTTAGTCTCTGTGATGTCCTAATTCATATTTAGCCAGCACATAGCAATGGGGTGGGGGGTTGCGTGGTCTCGAGGCATGGTGTCCGCCTCGAGTGCTAGAGGTTCCAGGTTCAATCCCCGGTTAGGGCTGGGATTTTTTCTCGACGACTTCTAGTAATTTCCCCTGGTCTCTGGGTAGTGAGATCGGATGCCGGTGTGCATTGCTGCGCACACAAAAATCCCTTGGTAGTTGGAAATCGAAAAGAGTCACAATCGGGTCACAGTATGAATCACAACATATATTTATAAGGAAGAAGGAAATGTATTCTATTTAATTCTCTGCTCTATTGGTGCGTTTTGATTACTTCTCTTTATAGTTTTGTAAACTAAATTTTTTGGTTCTTGCGCACACAAAAATCCCTTGGCAGTTGGAAATCGAAAAGAGCGGTCTAACAATGCTACAGAGCCTGTGCACTGTGCTGAGCTTTTTTGGAGTCGGACTTGAGTTTGAAGAAGAATGAAGCACTTATGGGTTACTACCCGTGTGCCATGACGTTGATCTGTTGTTCAAACTTCAAAGCAATCGGGTCACAGTATGAATCACAACATATATTTATAAGGAAGAAGGAAATGTATTCTATTTAATTCTCTGCTCTATTGGTGCGTTTTGATTACTTCTCTTTATAGTTTTGTAAACTAAATTTTTTGGTTCTTAATTTATAACGTACCCCAAACACAAAATCCCCATGGAAAATCCACAGCTGACCTGACAGTCCATTATTTCAAGGGGTGGAAGTGTGCTGTTGTGTGGTGTTTGTTTTGAGTGTTCATCTAGTGTCTTCTAATGCTAACCCTAACCCTAAACTTGGCTGTAGATAAATCGCGAGAAACTACAACCTGAACACCCTAGAATTTATTGGGAATATCTCCCGTGACGTCAGGGGTAAGTAAGTACCAATTTTTTTTTTTTTTCAAGTACATACATTTTTCAAAAACATTATTAGTAGCCCCTTGTACAATGATTTCAAGCACTTTGGGGGAAGGAATTCCCAGTTCATGTTCTCAGAGTTGTAATCTAGAGGGTATCATTTTTTATTTAAAGGATGCAAAGAAGCACAAGAGAAGGACACTATGACAGGCTTAGGCTGAATTATGAAGACCTGTTTAATATTTAAGTCTTTTTTTTTTTTGGAACTCACAGAACAAATCAAGTAGATGACAGCACACAGAAAAGAAAATCAAAGGCAGAGATGGAAGAGGGAGCTTTAAGAGGCAGCAAATGATAAGAGGGGTTTGGTTTGAGTTTGTTGAGGCAACATACTGAACCCTGAGAGTGGGGGTTTGGCCTGAGTTTGTTGAAGCAACATACCTGAACCCTGAGAGTGAGGGTTAGGCCTGAGTTTGTTGAAACAACAAACCTGAACCCCGAGAGTGAGGGTTCGGCCTGAGTTTGCTGAAGCAACACACCTGAACCCTGAGAGTGAGGGTTTGGCTTGAGTTTATTGAAGCAACATACCTGAACCCTGAGAGTCTCAATGTAGTTTGTACCATATGCCCGACGTGTGAAGTCAGACAGATTGAACTGGATTTGATTCCAGCCATCATCCAGCCTCATGGGCATGGTGCAGATGAAAGGCTTTACCCTCGTTGTGCTTTGGTAATTACTGGCACGGAACCGCCTTCGCACATTTTTGTCGTCTAAAACCTGTAGAAAAATACAAGTAATACAAATGCTTACAACTGTACCAAAAACTGATCATTTAGTTAGTTGTGGATCCTTTACAGGACGTTGCAGAACCAACCCCAGAATTTGTTGGCTGTTGTGGTTTTTCTAGGCAAATTTACGTCCAGTAGTTTGCCATTTCTTTCTGAAGTCAGCTTTTCGATACGACCGTCGAAACGAACGCAAGGCTCGCAGCAGGCATCGAAACCAGGCACCCCAGGCATTACGAAGTGCGTTCGCAACGCCTAAGCCACAGACTGACTGATCATTAGAGAGCTGAAATATGTCAAGCCATAAAGTAACGGTCCCTTTACAGGCCAGTCGGACTTTAAGCGTCAGAGGTTAGACTTTTATCTGTACAGGCCAACTGGCCCTCAATTGATGATATGGTCAACATTATTTACTTCCCAGGACTTTGCTTGGCACCTATTTAACTCTTTCAGTCCCAGTGAGTTTAGCATCACAGGCCCAAGGGGTAGTAAAAAAGAGACAAAATTGGCACATTCATCGGTCTTCTGGGTAAAAGCCAGTGAACTTATGATGCGTTCTCTGGGACTGAAAGTGTTAGGGCAGGGTCGTCGAGCCGAGAGCCAAGGTCATGTTTGAAGACAAATATTTCGAGTCATATGTGAAGCATATTTCTACTGCTGTAATCTAGTCAAATAAAGGACCCTTTTACGCATCTTTGGGAGAATTGGGTATATAGTGTTGGAACCTATATCTTGCAGACAAGCTGGCACTTGTGGATGATGAGGTACGTATAGCCCCTTTACTTCTCAGGACTGTTCCTCGTACCCATTTCAGGTGGGGTGGACATTGGAGCCGAGGCTGTTTAGAACGAAACAATTCATGCTTGATGTGGGTTTGAATCCACAACTTTTGAGGCTGTAATTTATGCTTTTTTTTAAAATGTCAAGACCATCTGAATAACCAAGTTAAATGTCACATAATAAAAGCATTAGGAATCAACATTTTAAACATTTTTATTTTTTTAAATTTGCTTCTTCTTCTTCTTCAGTTCACATGAAATAAATTATCTATAGCTGTAACATTGTCTCTAATATCAACTTCACTGTCTTTTGTAATTCACTCAGGGATCCGTAAAGTTTGACTTGCACCAATGCTTCTCTTGGCCAAAAGTTTTGCCATGATATGTTGTATTTGGGACAGTCTTGGAGGACGTGATCTGTTGTCTCAGGTGCCAATCCACATGTGCAATGGCTGATTCACGGATTTTAAATTTTGTGTACATGCGGCTGCAAGTCGATCGTGTCCTGTTCTAAGGTGTAGAATAACTAACTTGCTCTGGTCTGTCCATAAAATGGTTTTTAAATTTGCAAATCAATGTAAAGCAGCTGAGCCAAATCAGGTACACTGGTTCATACATCGACTTGCACACAGTAAGCTGTTTAATTTGTCCAAGCAGACATGAGTGCAAGTTTTACTTGTAAACAAAAAGAGGAAATAACACTTGAGTACTTATGGTAATAGGAGCTCCAAACTTTACTGTGACGCCAGAAACTCGTATCAACTATGAGACAAGCTAGAAAATTATTGTTCAGTGCTCAAATGTGGTCAATTAAGTCCTGATTGGCACAGGTCAAGCCCTTCTTTTCACCCATTCCCTCTTTTTATTAGTCACCTGTTTCAAATTCTACATAGTTTAATTCATGTATGCCTGATCCTTTAATCCAGTGGGATCCAGTGGTCACTGTTTGTTACACCTCATTGATATGTACTCAGCGAACAAACTTTATTACATTTATACTGTGTTTTCAAATATCTGTGCCTAATCTCAATGCTGGCAGGTTTGATGACCTGTCTTGTTTACCGCACAAGAAACAGCACCACTGCGAGCTAAATAATGAATAAGGTTAGTTGCGTCTCCTTTACAGGACGTTGCAGAACCAACTTTAACAGCCCCTGGCTGCTGTGTAGTTTTTCTAGGCAAATTTACATCCAGCAGTTTGCCATTGCTTTCTGGACGGTCGGCTTTCTTGATACCACTGTCGAAACCAACGCAAAGCCCATGGCCCGCAGCTGAGATCGAACCCGGCACCCCGGCATTACGAAGCGTTCGCATCAACTTAGCCACAGAGCCGACAAATAATGAATAAACAAAGCTAAAATACAACCAGCTATACTATTTGTACATCACTATGCACATCTTTCAACAAAATGTAGGGAGCTAATGTCATAATGACCATATTATGCCATGTGTACCTTTCATACACCAAGGATCGTATCCCCATATACCTTATGACACATACATGGACTTTCCCTATTTGACTTAACATACACCAGTCCCAAGTCAGACATAAGCTTACCTGAACTTCAAATGTGAAATACTTCTTCAAATTTTTGATGATCATGACTAAGAATGGTAATTTGATACCCAATGTCTTTTTTGGATCTGCCGGACAAGTAATGAATGTTGTGCTGTTGACAGAGAAATATAGCTGCTATAAGGAGGAAAATCCATCTGATGCCAACAGATATAAAAAGATAAACTGCTTCAAATACTACATCTAGGTCTGAGTGCTGTTTCTTCCTTCTTTACCTGGCTTTCATAGTGACGTTATGTCGAGCCCTCCTATCTTTTGTCAGCTCTTTCAATTTTTTTTCATGCCTTTCCATTTCTTTTTTTTTAGTCTCCAGTTATCTTCTGCTGGTCTGTATTAATTACCATTTCCTTGTGGGTTCTGATGGTAGTGTAAAGAGTTTCCACTGATAACGCCAACTGATTTTCTCAGCATATGTTTTTTTTTTCTTGCCTCGTGATTCACCATAAATGACAAGAAGTCCACACTGGTGATTCTGCCATACCACTAAGGTCTCTTCTATTCTGCCGAGGTACCTGAAAAGGAATACATGTATTTGTAATTCTATTGTAACTGTTGTTGTCATTCCCCATGTTTCTGACCCATCAAGTGCTGATTGGTCCCTATATAACATGGGCCCAGCATCGCAGGTCACATGCTTCAGTGGCATGAAAAAGGGATTATATTTTACTGAATGTTTCCGATTCCTGCAGCAGTATATCTTCCCTGCCCTTCCCTCAAACTGCACATTGCGATGGAATGGAGTGAGGCAGGGACACAGCGTCCACCTCCAACTATAGACTGAACTACCCTGGATAGTAGATCCATCTGGTAAACAGTCCATCAGCAGCTGAAACTGACAAAAGTCAAATCAGTCACCGTCTAGACACAAATTCAAAATAAGACACCCCCACCAACACGTGATAACAGCCACATATGTTCATGGTTTCCGATTGTAGATACACATACATCTTGACTGGTGCTACAAAGTTCACCTTGTCTGATCAATGTTAGGAACCTGCAGTACTCGTCCAGGCCCACAAAAACGCATCCTGAACAAACTGGATAAACTGAATCCTGGGTGTTGACTTGAATGAACTAACTCAGTGCTGGACATGTGTGTCAGTGTCAGGTTATTCTATGTTAGTGTTATGAGGACAAACTGAGAGACATCTGATAGCCACAAGAATGTGTTTTGGGGAAAGATAAAATACAAATACCATGAACACAGTAAAAACAAATGGTGCAACCCTTTATGAAATAGATTAAACCTATAAAATAATTCACAAAATTACACGTAGTCAAGATTTCTGGGGGATCATATGAGGGGAAAAAACAAGGAAAATGCATTCTTCTTCTTCTTTGCGTTCACCAGCTGTACACTCTGGCGGAAAGTTCTGGTTGTTCGTCCACACCTGGACTGCAGTCCTGCTCCAGAACCTGGGTGTTGTGTGTGCATCAGTTTTACAGATCTGATTCACTTGAATGCAGACTATTGGTTCCTTGCCTCTCAGGCAGATGCACTCCGACTTCAAAGGAAGCTACCAATTAGTCGACTCTTACGACATACTTTTTGGTAGGCAGTGGATCTATTCTTGTTTTCCCCACAATGGGGCCCCGGATCCCACACGGGGAGGAAAATGCATTGATAACTGGCAAAAAATGGATAGAGCCAAGAGGAAGACAGCGACAAATAAAGACCCGGCTGAATACAGATCTGGTCCGAGACTTGGGATTATGTGAAGTGGTGAACTATGACTGCCCATAATTATCGACATAGCATAGGATTTTATTGTGACCTAGCAGCATCTTTAAAAACCAATTAGTTCAGCATATTATTAACTGAGAGAACAGCCAGAACTGATATTCTAAAGCCTTCTTGAGAACATGTTTTTTTTTCTTTCAGCTGTCATAATTACGCATTTAATGGATGTTTCAAATTCATATCAAATTAATCGTTTTACAAGTACTCAAAGACATCATTTCGGTTTATCTCAACTGTACGCTGCATATTTCACAAATTATTACAGACTAGACCACAATGCACAGTAATATATGTTGCTCTGGAACTCATCATTACCACATGCCTCACATAGTAACCAGTTCCCAGAGACTGGCAGCAAATAACTACCAGGTCATACAACAGCAAATACAACATGGAATAGACAGTAGCAGTTAGTGATAATACCTGACATTTGTGCCAACAATTTCCAAAACTAGTGACTGGATGTCATTGTCTGTTATGCGTTTTATGTGACCATTTCGTACCTGCGGGATAAAATTAGGGCAACAGTGTCAATGTAAAAGCAAGAGTCAAACTGATTATATTTACAACACAAACAGAATCAAAAGGTAAACTAAAGTTCCTTTCAAAACAAACACACATGCAGGCACACAAATATACTCCCATGTACAAGTTAAAAAGACACATTCACTTTTGACCTACTTAGCTGAGATTTGCTATTCAGATCTACATTCCTAGAATATATGCAATATTAAATAACCAGATAATTAACAAGTAAAAATTTCCAATATTAAAACAGAAAAAAGCCTATATATCCCAATTATAACCTACATAATGTTGAATATGATATCATTTAAATAACTATAAAGATATGAACAGGACAATATATCAAATAATAATGACACAAATATATGAAAGAAATTATTATACAATATTTAAAATAACAAAAATATACTCTAAAAGCTGGATAAAATTTTTTTCCCACTAAACCCCAAGGGTTAAACAGGAAATTGTTGTGAAAATTACTACTACTACCACCCCTACCTATTTATGCTGGGACTTTAGTGCTGCAAACATTTATTATTATTTATAATAATATCCTGAGAAAAATGGATGAATGTAATCAAGCAGATATTAAAATTAAAAAAAAGAATTCACTAAGCAAATACAATGAGTATGAAACTCAATAAGAAAGAGGGGGGGGGGGGGGCAGTTCAAACCAACACTATGCTACCAGTGCCAAACCTGTACATGGTCTGAATCATGTAGGCATAAATACACACCAGTGAGATGAGATGACTGAGGAAAGCAGCCAGCTCAACCACGTGAGAACGACTGAGAAATAATACCATCAGACAGACTGTGGAAACAAAACCTTTAACCAAATTCAAGAAGATGCAGACAATTTAATGGCCTGGATCTGATCAGATCACATAAAAGACAAATATGACATACAAATTGTGCAATATATAAATGAGTTTTCAATACACACGATAATAGCAACATGGCAGGGAGTCCATCCGTTCCGACGCAGGTTAGCGATAGTATTCTTCCGATTAAACTCACCGCCAAGCGTATCCTCCACGCCACCGATAGTTGGCTAAACTAGATGGCTGAGACTCCCAAACAGCAGCTACCGCATCTCCTGCAACTTCCTCCAATTTATTTGCCCATGAGTCCCAGCCATCTAGTTTAGCCCCCCATCCATGCTGTCTGTAGCGGCACAGGGGGATACTGTCGGCTGTGCAGCATAGTAGCAGAAACAGGTCCACAATTAACACATCGCTGAGACCCTGTTAGAGTATTTGTTTGGCCTTGATAATATTTGCCCGTCATTCGGAGGCAATCCTAGTTTTGCTGCGATTTGTTTCTCTGCAGGTACTCCGCAGTTTACACATGACTGAGGCCCTGTTAGGGTATTTGTTTGGCCGCCATAATATGGGGACGAAGTTCAAGTTCAGAGGAGAGCTCAATATTTTAACTACTTCAGCTAATGTTTCCTGGGTACGGGCTATCCTGCTGATTAAATAATTTCTCTGTGTTTTTAGTAACTGCACAGTTACTGGCTAAAAAAAATGTGCAAACATTTTGCCTCACAACTGACATTCACCGGCTTCACTGAGATAATACTGGCTTCACTGAGATAATACCGGCTTCACTGAGATAATACCAGCTTCACTGAGATAATACCGGCTTCACTGAGATAATACCGGCTTCACTGAGATAATACCGGCTTCACTGAGATAATACCGGCTTCACTGAGATAATACCGGCTTCACTGAGATAATACCGGCTTCACTGAGATAATGCCGGCTTCACCGAGATAATGCCGGCTTCACCGAGATAATGCCGGCTTCACCGAGATAATGCCGGCTTCACCGAGATAATGCCGGCTTCACCGAGATAATGCCGGCTTCACTGAGACAATACCGGCTTCACTGAGATAATACCGGCTTCACTGAGATAATAACGGCTTCACTGAGATAATAACGGCTTCACTGAGATAATGCCGGCTTCACTGAGATAATACCGGCTTCACTGAGATAATACCGGCTTCACTGAGATAATACCGACTTCACTGAGATAATACCGGCTTCACTGAGATAATACCGACTTCACTGAGATAATGCCAACTTCACTGAGATAATACCGACTTCACTGAGATAATACCGACTTCACTGAGATAATACCGACTTCACTGAGATAATGCCGGCTTCACTGAGACAATGCCGACTTCACTGAGATAATGCCGGCTTCACTGAGACAATACCGACTTCACTGAGATAATACCGACTTCACTGAGATAATACCGACTTCACTGAGATAATACCGACTTCACTGAGATAATACCGACTTCACTGAGATAATACCGACTTCACTGAGATAATGCCGGCTTCACTGAGATAATCCCGACTTCACTGAGATAATACCGACTTCACTGAGATAATACCGACTTCACTGAGATAATACCGACTTCATTGAGATAATACCGTTGGGTTTGACTTTTTCAGGATCTAGTTATGACGACACATTTTGCAAGGCTAAGGACAAAACAGTTCTTTCTTTTTGCTGATTGCGTGACAAAATTTAACAGAGTTTGTATTGTATTTAAAAAAAAAAAGTTAAGGAGCCTTTCCCAGGCCTTTAGGCGTAAAGGGCTAGACCTAAATTTGTATAGACTCATCGGCACAAGATGGTGATGTGGTCAGCATCACGCCGGCTGGGTCGACCTGGGTTGTATTGTATAAGTTAAGTAAACTAACCACCGATTGTTTGAGATTGAAAAAAAAAAAGATGCTGCACAACCCAGTTTAAATAAATAATAAATAAGTAAGTAACTAAGTATTATTACTATTATTAATAATTAATTAATAGTTAGTGTATAAATTAAATTTTAATGTCATCCGAGCAGCAATCGTTGGTAGGGAATCAATACAACCAAAATATAAAAAGAAATCCAAAGTCGCATACATTTTTTATGAAACGTTCAGTACGAATTGTGAAATATGAACGTCAATCACAAAGCAAAGACTGTCCCAAATGTATTTCATGGTAAAAAAATATGGTGAGCTGCAACAAACCTTTTTGTCCCAGATCTGTAGGGGTTTACTCCCAATGCTGTAGAGTATTGAAAGAAATCCACTTTGAAAAGTATTTTTGAACATGTTTGACGTCTAACAATGAGGCTAGGAATACTGTCTGTGTTGCTACACACAGTTGAAGATTAGACCAGGTGTCTAGGTTTGTGTGGTTACCTGTCTGCAAGAGGGACCAACTTCCACGTTGTTAGGGACTTCTTTCTCTGGCGTATGAATTCTTGTTGCTATTGACTTTTAATTTACCTCTATGAAAACTATCAGAAAAACGTATAACGAAAAATAAATTGTAGTTAAAATGTATTCCTAAAAATCTAGGTTGTTTAAGTGCAGAATGTAAGGAAGCAAATCTCTTAAATAGTTGTGCCAGATGGGAAACTATATTTATCGCGTCCAAACATTTACTTACACCAACATCCGGTTCCTCATCACAACACATCAGTGTTACCCTTGGTGACGGGATTTTACAACAGCTAGCCCTTTAGGGCGATTCTCTTCATAGCCGGTGTCTACGGTAGTTGGTAGTACATACTATACAGGTATCATGGACAATAAAAGGGCATGTGTTCTTGCCGCTGCTATATCATAGGATTAACCGATTGAACAGCAAGGCTCCCAACCCCACATTGATTGAACTTCTCACAATCGTGGAAAGTTCAGCTAAAAACTCACTCCACAGCACATAAGAGCTCCATCCTCATCTGCAGTAGCCAGCGAAGAGTTCAAATTCTGATGGTGCCAGTAGCAGTTTAATTATGTGTATGAATTGGCTTTCCTGTAAGCATAGAATGCTTACCAGATCCCATGGTCACTCCTAGCTGTACCATTCTCTCCCGACCATAATCTAGCCGTGCCCCGATTTTCACTTGCTCCAGAAGGGCTTTGACCACATCTAGCTTGTCAATGCTAAATTCACCACCCATTGGTGCAGAACAAGCTAAAATATCTGCATGTTCATTTCTAAATACTTCTTTGGGACTCGGATAAAATACCAAAAAGGAACGCTAACTACATGGGACCTCTGAAGTAAACTTGGCATTTTGCACGAAGAATGTCTGTCCCCACATCTCTTAACATGTACTGTGAGTCGGTTGCAATCGCAACATGTATGTGCAGCTGGTTCTCAAGCTGGCGGAAAGCTGCTGTGACTGCCTCCACCTCCATTCTCAAAATAGATTTCGTACTTTCACGAAACTGAAAGAATAAATCAGGAGTTGTCATTACTGCACTCAAGACATTCCCACAATGTGCTCTGTCCCCTTCTTCAGCAGCCAGCGAGAAGTTGACATGCTAATATCAGTTGCAACCCAACTAAAAGTCCGCCTCTTTTCCCCCTTTAATGTTGAATATCTTCAAAAATCTCTTCCACGTCGAATAAGACTTTTAGTTTGCGGATTCCCTTTCTGTTCTATTGCAACATTCCATAGAATATTCACAACATTGCCTTTATCAACTGTCCTTTTTAGGACGCAACTTTTTGTTATTTGAAGCCCCAACTGGCTTTTGCCAGGGGCCGCAATATAGGCAGGCCATAAATATTGCCAATTGTCTGAACGCGGTTTCTGGGACCTCTCTACGGTGATCCTCATCCACATGGTGGCACTTTGTGTCATCTGATGTTTATCGCTTGTGTGATGTCCTGGTGGGGTAGAAAGTCAGTCAAATCAACATCGCCTTTACCATATAGTACCTCTATTCTCATACTGGATTTAGTGACGTTGTAAGCGAGGCTTTCTTTTCAAACGGCGCCTATTCACCTTTGCAATAAAACTCCACTCACTCTTTTCAACGATTACAACATAACCATCTGCACATATTATGATGTCACTTGGGCCTGAATTTTCATTGATTAGCTCTTGCACAGCTGACTGTTTTCCCAGCTATCCATTCCCCGCAGGTCAAGGGTAACTATCACTCTGTGCAAGTCGGTTTCCCTGAGGAAAGGGGAAGGGTGTGGGCACTATAACCGATTTCTCACCATTCGCTATCTTGTCAGAAACACAAACAGGTCTAATCGTAACTTCTGCTTTAACATCCAATAGCCACCTCTTTTCTGTCGATGTCTCTTTCTATACCATAAGACCCCACGCAGAAGGTGTTCTCTATCCGTTGAGACTTTAAGGTATATTTCTGCCTGTGCAATCGTGTATCTGTCATATACGGATGATGATGCCAAGTATGTGCCGCATGTAGACAGTTGGTGTACATCCCAAAAATGACTCGTATGGCTTTATTTTGTATACGTTCCAGCTTTTTTATTTGGGAATGAGATAATGTTAGCAGTCCCAAATAATACACTCCCAACAAAATAAAATATTGCTGGTGGTGTGTATAGAGCCTTAGTAGTATATATTTAGTGAATGCCGCGCAAATTTAGAGTATGGCTGCTATATAACCTTTGTTATTTGCCAGCCACTAAAAAAAAAAAAAAAAAGTTGGCTCCATATGCGGAAAAGTCACGTGTGCTCCTGATGTAGGTCACCTGGCGGCTCGGGCTACGTGAGTCAGGACCAAGGGTCAGATAAGGCTCCGGGATGGTTGTGGTTATCTATCTGGGGTGGGGCGGTCGGAGCAGAGTATCCGAGAGTTTTCTGAGGCGGTGCTGACCGGAAGCGGTTTTGACTGGGGCCGTTTCATGGGTCATAAAGTAGAATAAAGAAAAACATGAGCATTGACTGGTTTGGTCGCTGGAGATAGAAAGTATATATGTCGTATAACAAAATATGTAACATTGGGGGCGGGTGTCAGCTAGGGCATTGGGTGGTGATAACAAGTGATGACTTATGGTGATCACCTTGTAGTGATAATAATGATATTTTGCCGATATTTACCTAAATTTATAACTGAATAACCTAGCACCCATTTAAGGCTGAGTCAAGCTAGAAGCCAAGGTCATTTTTGAAAAACAATCCAGTGCCGGTGAGATTCAAATCCATGACCTTCAGATCTGTAGAGCATTTAGCCCCTACACCGCTGAAGCACACTGCAAACAGTGTGGTGATGCAAATATAAACTAAAAAAAGATGAAGCCTTATTTAAAAACTGTTGAAAACAGTCTTAAGAACAATGCTTGTACACAACAAAGATGCAAACAGTGGAAAATGGAGAGTGGGAGACAACAGTGAAACTCATATGTATAAATCACCACTTATTACTGGCACCATGAGGGCTGACAGACTACAATAGTTGGGATGAAAGAAAGTGAAAGATAACAGAGAGACAAACAATGAGTTAACAAAAGAGTTGAACTGGAGGAGACTACAAAGCAGACACTACAAGGCAGACTAAAAAGACAATAAAAATATATAAGCAGACCTACAGACAGCTGGTGTACAAAACTGGAAAAAGAAGGCCAATCACAGGGATGAACGGTGACAAGTAATATCATTTAACTTCTTGTTTTGGCATACTTGCTTAAGGCACACATAAAAATGCAATACCCGCAATTTCACAAGCTCCCCCAACCCCGCTTTTTTTCTATAATATACACACACACTTACATTTGTAACCAACAGGTTTGTATTCTACACATAATCATGTCAAATAACAGAAATAATTGCTCGATTCCAATATTTTATTAGCTACTGAAATGATGATGAGGATGTCAACTCCTGCTAAGTGAAGTGAATGTTAACATGGCACCTAGCAATTTGGGCAAGCAACTACTCAAATATAGCATGCTGCAAGATAAACTTTGGAGATAACAGTTCACTAATTCACAAAATTACAACAGATCAGATCTGTATTATTTCCCTTATTATTCTGTTTATGCTTCATCAGGTAATTCAGGTTTTTATTCCCATGTGTTGTTAGATCTGTACAGTAATATCCAGTAACTGACTTGCCACAATGCCCTAATATTTCATTAGGATACCTTTGATGTCCTGTAATTATGCACCAAGGGTTACAATGATAAACCAGTCTCATCTACTCTCACCATTAGCAATACATTAGTTCTGACTTTGCCATTTTTTTGAGCAACTGTCAACGGCACTTTACCATCTTTTTCAGTTCACTTGTCACCAGGAGCAGAGCCCAGTGTCCCTCTTGTGGCAGGTCCATCACTGCACTTTACCATCTTTTTCATTTCACTTGTCACCAGGAGCAGAGCCCAGTGTCCTTCTTGTGGCAGGTCCATCACTGCACTTTACCATCTTTTTCAGTTCACTTGTCACCAGGAGCAGAGCCCAGTGTCCCTCTTGTGGCAGGTCCATCACTGCACTTTACCATCTTTTTCAGTTCACTTGTCACCAGGAGCAGAGCCCAGTGTCCTTCTTGTGGCAGGTCCATCACTGCACTTTACCATCTTTTTCAGTTCACTTGTCACCAGGAGCAGAGCCCAGTGTCCCTCTTGTGGCAGGTCCATCACTGCACTTTACCATCTTTTTCAGTTCACTTGTCACCAGGAGCAGAGCCCAGTGTCCCTCTTGTGGCAGGTCCATCACTGCACTTTACCATCTTTTTCAGTTCACTTGTCACCAGGAGCAGAGCCCAGGGTCCCTCTTGTTTCAGGTCCATCACTGCACTTTACCATCTTTTTCAGTTCACTTGTCACCAGGAGCAGAGCCCAGTGTCCCTCTTGTGGCAGGTCCATCACTGCACTTTACCATCTTTTTCAGTTCACTTGTCACCAGGAGCAGAGCCCAGTGTCCCTCTTGTGGCAGGTTCATCACTGCACTTTACCATCTTTTTCAGTTCACTTGTCACCAGGAGCAGAGCCCAGTGTCCCTCTTGTGGCAGGTCCATCATCACTGCACTTTACCATCTTTTTCAGTTCACTTGTCACCAGGAGCAGAGCCCAGTGTCCCTCTTGTGGCAGGTCCATCACTGCACTTTACCATCTTTTTCAGTTCACTTGTCACCAGGAGCAGAGCCCAGTGTCCCTCTTGTGGCAGGTCCATCACTGCACTTTACCATCTTTTTCAGTTCACTTGTCACCAGGAGCAGAGCCCAGGGTCCCTCTTGTTTCAGGTCCATCACTGCACTTTACCATCTTTTTCAGTTCACTTGTCACCAGGAGCAGAGCCCAGTGTCCCTCTTGTGGCAGGTCCATCACTGCACTTTACCAT